GTGTGTGTGTGTGTGTGTGTGTGTGTGTGTGTGTGTGTGTCACAGCGTATGTGTAGCAGACAGAGGACAACTTGTGGGAGTTGGATTCTGGAGACTGAATTTAGATGTCAGCCTTGGAGGCACGCGCCTTTACCTGCTGAGCCATCCCCCCGGCCCTGTTTCAGGGGCAGGGTCTCTCCCTGAACCTGGAGCTAATCATTCTGGCTGCACTTCTTGGCCAATAAGCCCCTGAGACCTGCCTGTCTCTTTCCCCCAGCACTGTAATATGAGTGCTCACTGCCACACCTGGCTTGGCATGTGGATGCTGGGGATCCGAACTCAGGTCTCTGTGCTTGCAAGGCAAGTCCTCTTACAAACCAGGCGATCTCCTTTTTCCTTGGATAGATCATTTCTGTGGTCCAAATAGGAGATGACTAATTTCTAATTCTGCTTATGAGTCACCTGTACATACATGTTTGACTACATAGAGGGATATATTAGTTAAATGTTAGCACTTTATTTTCTTAAAGATTTACTTTATTTTGATTATGTGTCTGTGTACTTAATGCAATATTGGGGAGTCCAGAAGAGGGCATTGGATTTCCCTGGAGCAGGCGTTATAGGCAGTTGTGAGCTGCCATGTGGGTGCTGGGAACCCAAACTTGGGTCTTCTACAAAAGCAGTACATGCTCTTAACCACTGGGCCATCTCCCCAAATCGGATTACTTTTTAAAATTATGTGTATGTGTGTGTATGTGTGTGTATATGCATGTGAGTGTTAGTGACTGCAGAGGCCAGAGAGGGTATCCTCTAGACCTGGCATTGCAGGCAAGTGTGAGCCACCCAGCTTGAGTGTTGGGAACCAAACTAAGCAAGCAACATGTGTGTGTGTGTATGTGTGTGTGTGTGTATGTGTGTGTGTGTGTGTGCACAGCACTATATATATTCAAAAAGAAGATTGACTACTTCAACTCAGCATTATTAATAATTAGTATAATTAATTAAACAGTCATTATTTTCTCTTGTGCTTAGTTTTTCAATAAAAATACTTTAAAATTTAAAAAAATCAACAAAACAAATCCAATAATATATATAAAAATCAGTAAAAAGTGGTTGAGGAGGCACCCTTTGTCAATCTCTGTGAACCTCTGCCCTCCAGAGGCATATGCACACAACATAAACATATAACATACACACACACAGCACATAATACACACACTGTGATCAAGTGATTTATCAAAGAAGCAAAAGGCTGATTCAGTATTTGATTACTAGTAAATGTGACCCATCTCAGTAAGACAAACAAGGAAAAGGATATGGTTCTACCAACTGATACAGTGATTTATGATTCACAAAATTCTCAGAAAAGTAGAAATAAAATGTCTTGAACTCGACAAAGAGCATCTATAAAAGTTCTATGCCCAGCATGGCACTTCATGGTGAAAATGAAAGCTTCCCCCTCGAGGCCAGGACAAAGCACCGTCGGACACTACTAGAGTCAACAGAGTGCTGGGAACTATAGCCAGCGCGATAACAGAAGAAAACAAAACAAAAAGACAGAAATAAAAACAAGGCCTACAGCAAAGACATCACCAAAGTCTACAAACAGTCCCTGCTATTGGCTGGGAATTCGGCCTGGTGGCAGAGTGCCTGCCGAGCCTGCACAGGGGCCTGGGTTCCATCCCTGTTTCCATAGAAAGAAACGAAGAACCACTGCATTTCTACAAACAAGTTGTACAAACCTGAAAACCAAAACTTTAAACAACAGCGGAAGACCATAAATAAGCCAGATAGAGTGGATCACACCTACAACACTAATACTTTAGAGGCTGAGGCAGGGGAGTCACCACAAGTTCCAGGCCAGCCTGAGGTATCCACGCCTGTTCTCATAATAAGACCCCCACTTCAAAACCCTGCCCCAAACAGCCATTTACAAAAGTTCTAAAATGAACTAAATATTAGGAATAAATATTTTTTAAAAATCTGTTTGCCTGAAAGAGCCATCGGGACACCCACTGACACAGACACATCTATATCAAGTCTGGGATTTATTTTTTTAACCGTACTTAGAGAAAGCCCAATCAGGATTATACCAACACACAGAGAAACACACACATTTCTCTGCTTCACTGCAACAAGCAGACCATTTCCTCTCAGAGTACACTCACAGTTTAAAGTAATCAATAGAGTAATTAAAAGCAAAGCCATCTAAATCCCAATAAAACAAAGCGCTATACTTTATGTAAGATCAATGAAACTAACTTTGTCTTCAGGGGGTGCAAATGTTTTAACTGTTACAAATTGGGATTTTTATCTCTTTTGTGTTCTACCAAAACCCCCTGGTATCAATCCAGAATCTCTCAAGCTATGTATAAATGAAAAAGGTAAACAAGAGAATGGAGGGAATC